TTTATAAAAATATATATATAAAATGCCAAAAACAAAATTAAAAAATAATATTTTAGAGTCTAAATTTTATTTTACCCAAAAATCATAAAATATGTTAGGCTAACAATTATTTATATAATATTAATAATTTAATATAAAAAAATTTCATTTCAATTTTGTTTTGCTAATTTTTTTTTTAAAAGAATAAGATTAGAGAAGAAGAAAAGAGAAAAAAAAAAACCTAGAAAAATCTATTACGTTAAAAGAGAATCCATTTTAGAAGAATAACATTTACTTGATATGTTATTTACCTAATATTCTATTAGACTTTCATTAGTTATATAAAATTTTATTTAAATCTATTTTTCTCATTAAATTATCAAATGCCTAATTTTTTTTGTTACTTTTCACATTAAAGGCCCTATAGTTTGTTTTCCTTCTTATTAAAAGGCCTATTTTTATTTAAAAAAATAGAACTATCTTATTTTTTTGGTTTTTAGTTTGAAATTTACAAAAATATATATAGAAAATGTCAAAACAAAATTAAAAAAATAATATTTTTAGAGTCTAAATTTTATTTTACCAAAAAATCATAAAATTTGTTAGGCCAACAATTATTTATATAATATTAATTATTTAATATAAAAAAATTCTTTTCAATTTTGTTTTGCTAAATTTTTTTTTAAAGAAATAATAAGATTAGAGAAGAAGAAGAAAATGAAAAAGAGAAAAAAAACCCAGAAACATCGAAATAAAAAACCAACAAAACGAAAAAGTACAAGAAAAATTACAGAAAAAATAACAAAAAAGAAAAATGAGGAAGAAAAAAAAAGAATAAAGAAAAATAATAGAGAAAAATAGAGGGAAAAAAAACAGAAAAGAAAATCACTAAAACTAAGAAGAGAGAAAGAATGAAAAAGAATAACGTACAAGAAGAACTTAAAAGAAAATTAGAAAAAAATAAAAAGAAGATGAAGAAGTGGAAAAGAAAAAGATCAATAATAAAGAATTAGAAAAAGACGAAGAATAACAATAAAAGAATAATAACGAATAAGATAAAGAAGAAGAAAAATATTAATATATTATCTTATTATCAAAAATCAAACACAAAATATTAATATATTATCTTCTTATCAAAAATCAAACACATTTTTATTGTATAATTTTTTGATTAAAAAATATGAATACGATTAACAAAAAGATAATTAATCGTATTTTATAATATTTTAGCATTATTTGTAGATTAACTATCTTGACTACAATGTTGTAAAACAATAAAATTATATTTATAAAACCAATATTTTAAAAATTAAATTATAAAAAAATATTACTTGCGCACCTGCTAGATCCTAGTTAATAATTAATTAATAAAATTCACACTAATAGTGTCTCTTTTAGTCTTGCTCTAACAATATTGCATATCATCATCGCAAACACAGTACATAATAAACTTTTAAATGTCCGAGTTTTGTTTTCCCTTTTCCTTTAGCCATAATTTCTAATGTAATAACTGATGTTCTTCTGAAATATCAAATCAAACTGATGTCCTCAAAATAATCGTATCGACCCGATCATTGTTGTTGAGGAGTATTTGCTGCCTTTGGTTTCTCAGGAACGCGTTTATAGAATACACGTTTAATGCATGTAGTAAAACTTTGCCATTCAGACTTACATAGAAACAATATAGTCAGGTTGGCTAGGTCACATTCGAACTACCGAGCGTCAAGGACCGAGACAGTGATTTGGTTCACTGTCCAAGATTCAGCGTCGCGCTGTTTACTCGACGATGAATGAGTTTCAAAAGGACTTCTACCAACGCAATAACCGGGTAGCTTAGGCTGAGGAATAGTCGTTGTTTCACTACCGAGCATTAAAACTACGGATGACATCATTGGTCTATCCTCTGCACGTTCTTGAACACACAAAAGACCAATTTGTATGCATCTTAGGATTTCATGTGGCCGGAACGTTGATGATGAATCTCTAATGATCGGATCTACAACCTCTACGCCCTTTCCTTCTTTCCAATTCCTCCACACCTACAAAATAAATATTCGATATTTGTTTAGTGTTACCATCAGGTTTGAGTGCGAAACAAGATATAGTTTCAGAGGTTTTAAGCTTACACAACCAAGAAGATTAAGGTCACGGTTCGAGTTGTAGAATCCTTTGTTTCTCTTGCCACTTATAATCTCAAGAAGTAAGACCCCAAAACTGAAAACATCCGACTTCATCGAGAATATCCCGTCCATTGCATATTCTGGAGACATGTAGCCGCTACATAACGAAGATTAAAATCATATGTTATGAAGGCTTTTCTTTTAAATGGATTTAAGACATACGCTCTTTGTTGTTTTGGAGAATAATTCCTTACTATGTTCCGACCACCTTCCTCGTAACAGCTTCTGTCTCATCTCTTCCAAAGATCCTGGCCATCCCGAAATCAGAGATTTTCGGAGTCATATCTTTATCAAGCAAGACATTACTTGCTTTCAAGTCTCTATGGATAATCTTAAACCGTGAATCTTGGTGAAGATATAGAAGTCCTCTAGCAATGCCATTGGTAATATCAAATCTCTTTTGCCAATCTAAGTTAGAGCGTCGGGTTTTATCTACAAATCAACCAACGTGTTAACTAATTTCGAAAGATGTTAAATTGTTATAACAGAGTTGTATTGAATCATCACTAACCAAATAGATGAGAATCAAGGCTTAGATTCTCCAAGTACTCATAGATCAACATCTTCTCCTCCACATCGACGCAACAGCCAAGAAGCCGGACAAGGTTTATGTGTTGAAGCCTTGCAATCAGTTTCACCTCGTTCTTGAACTCATCGGTTCCTTGAACTGACATTTTCGATAGTCTTTTTACCGCAATTTCTTGCCCGTCAAGTAACCTCCCCTGTTACCATACATTTTGATTACATAATGAAACCTTGTCCAACGATAGACACTGAAATAAGTTTTCATTCATTATTACCTTGTAAACTATACCGAAACCACCTTGACCGAGCTTGTTGGCGTTAGAAAAATTGTTTGTGGCCATGGCAACATCTTCAAACTCCATCAATGGCAATTCGAGATCCTCTGTTTTGTTTTCTCTAGATGTATGTCTCCTACTGGATATTACTACTTCGTTCATTAGTAAATCTTGGCTTCTCACTTGATCAACTGTTTCATTCAGACACACACAAAATATTCAAGATATATATATGATTATCAAATTTACTGACAAAGGAAATGAAATTAAGTTAATGATTTACCAAAAGGTGTTTCAATTACTATTGATCGCTTCTGCTTTCTTTTCCAAAACCGGAAGATGATGAAGCTTAAAAGAAGCAAAACGCTCACTCCAATACTCGAACCTATGATTTTTGCATTTCTGTTTCTCTTGTCCTCTGAAGTAGGGAAAGAGAGATACCATTGTTAAAATCCTACTTGGCGGCTGACGTGGCTTGATGAGTCATAGATAACGTTACTTGTTTTTTGTTTCCTTTCAATCACATAATAAAAAACTCATAGACCAAGGAATTTAATTTTTCATTTTTTTAAAAAACTTTATGCTATTTTTCTGATTTAAGTAAAAGCAAGGCATATATTCTCTCTTCTAGGTAATTATCACAAAGAAAAAGAAGAAAAATTCCGCCTATAAGTAATTTGGTCATACTTTTGGACTTTTAATTTATACAACAATTGGTCAGCCTAAAAGTAATTTCCTTTTGGCATTGGATCTAACTTAAACCATATTGATATTGAGATAGATAAGTTTTTGTGAGTAATATAGAAATCAAAATTTTCACCAAACCAATGCAATCAATACGACGCATGGCAATTTTTAAGATGATTAAAGTCCAATGGACTCATTTCTTATTTATCAAAAGGTTGAATGTTATATAGTTTTTTCACGTTTTCATGTTTTGAAAATATGATTTCACTAAATATATAATATTCATAATATTAAGTATTGAATGATAAAAAGTGAAAATTAATATGATATTTTTCAAATATTTTTGTATGTTTTAATTTTATAACTAGTTTAAAAAAATATATTCATCTAATAGATAATAGTTTTTAGCGTTTTGAGTTTATTCAACTTTCCGTTTATCCATAATTTCGCTAAATTATTATTCCACTATTCTGCTACTAAGTTGACATATCATTTAAACCTGAAGTATAATACTACTTAACAGTGATCAAAAATGCTGGAACATGTTTTTTTTTTGTATGAAATGTTCAATGTAGTCCAACGTTTTCACATAGATGCAATGACCAAAGACGTCAACATTTCTATGAAGTTCAAAACCAGCGAAAAGAAAACTAAAAAACATTTTATTAAAACCAAAGTCTGCAAACTATAACAAGTAACTTTCACTTTCAAGATTCAACACCAGTATCATGTTCTACCGAACAAAAAAAAAAAACGCATTATACACAAGCCAAGTTAAATACTATTCCCTTCTGATCCGTATACAAAACGTTTTCACTTTTTTGGGCGTCAAAAGTTTAATGTGGAGAATAGAAATTCTAACAGTATAATGTCAGCAAAATTTTCTCTTTAATAGTTTTAGCAAATGAGGTAAGAAAAATGATAAAATGTTCTACTCTATCGACCGTTACTAAGCAAGATTAGTTGTGAAAATGATAACCAAAACCATCGGGCATGTCTTTACTCTTTTAATGACAAATTATCCCAACCTATGTATGTTTATATGATTTCCTTGTCTACAGATTATTACCAAATCTCGAACACTATGGATGCAAATGGTTCTCAGAGGAATTAGTAGAATAGAGATTAGTGAAATAAAAATTAGTAGAATATGAATAGTAGAGGAATGAAATTTTAAAATCTTCTTAACAAATTCAGTTATTTTTGGTGGAATAGGTGGATTTATTTTCCACTAACATTTTTTGTAAATGGTAACATTTCAAAGGAATGCCCAATTTCACCATATTTTATTCCTCTAGTTGTGCATCCATTTGCACCCTATATTCATCGTCTCAATGTACAAAGGGTGTAGGAACTAACCGAGATCTGTAGCGGCCAATTTAACGTAGAGATCCTGACCTCCCTCGACGTAATTCCGGATATCCGAAATCTCTCCGGTCCAAATCACACAACCTGATCCGCCATCTCGGATATCTGTATTCGCAAACGCGGTACAGTTACAATCACTCATGCACTTCTCTTCGCATTCTTTCAACCCAATTCCTCTGTCCACGCTCGTCGCCCTAGTATCCGGCAATTTCATTTTCTTCAACCGCACAAACCCATCTCCGCTGTCGCAGCTCAGTTGCGTCTTCCTCACGCAACCATCCGACCCATCTCTTAACCCCCACACCTGTGGATTCCTCGGCTCAAACCCTTTGATACAGTTGCAAACCGGGGACGTATTCGAATCGCAATAACCGTAACTCCCACATTCTTTGTACTCATCGCATTGGTCTTTTGGTGCGTACCAGAACTGGTTCCAATTCTGTACTGCCTCAATCCAAGTGAACCGTTGTAATATTCCCGTGGAGCTTAGGGTTAATCTCGAGTACATATTGTTTTTGGTGACTCGGAATGAATAACTCACTTCTTCATTACTCGCCGTGAAATTAAAAACGATGTAATCAAATGCTTGCATTTCCGGTACGCCACTAAACCGGATCCCATTCCATGGACCGCTCCGGTACACTCGTGACTCTCTGTTCCACAAGAAAATCTCCGGAAACCCTCTGGTTTCGAGTTTGAACGAGAAATCACCGCTTGAAAGATCATCTGGACTTCTCCATGATCTCAGGGATCTGTTGTGTCTAGTTTTGAGATCCCAACCTAGTTTCATCTCCGGAAGTAAAGTATCCGTCGGAAAATCAAAGCTCTGCCACAGAAATTCATCCGGATCGTTGTTGTTAGAGTCTCTGAGCACGAGATTACCGTTATCGAGAAGCTCTGCAACCACCGGAGCTCTCACATCTCCACCGGTCAGATTCGTCGACCAAACAGGTTTATCAGACTGATCCAAAAGAGCGAGGTTATTGTCGGAGATTTTAAGAGTTCCGATGGAGCTAGAGAGAGGACTGTCTCTATTTGCAACCCATACGTAGGTTCTCTTAGAGATTGCCTTGAACCATATCCCGAGATACCAACGAGAACTTGAAGAAGGTTTGAAGAAACCAAGCTCGAAGACATTACCAGGAGACAAGATGGTTTGGTTGCTTGAGAGAGTCAGAGATTCTGTAGCCGACATAGTGTTGGCAGAGATAGAGAACTGAGGGAACAGGATTAAGACGGAGAAGACGGAGCAGAATATGTAAGAATGGTGGAAGTTTGGTACACCTCTCATGTCTCTACACCACTTTCTTGTGTTCTCTTCAATTTTTCTCTCTCTCTCTTTCTTGAATAATTTAGATGTAAAAATTTGAGAATTTTTTTCCTTTGGAGATATCGGACATATTTTGTATATTAAATTAGTTCATTCGATTTTATATTTTTGTCAAATGTCAATTCCCATAATGATTCCTTTCCGACTTTTCTTTTCTTCGTCTTCTTGTTCGCACTTGAAATGATGTATGTAATATGTGTAACGTCGGATTCAGAGTTGACCTGGCAACAAACTTAAGGCGTTTTCATATATTTTTGTCACGCATTTTCTCCTTGTTCTGCGCTTTGTTTTTCACTATAATAAATTCACAATTATCAATATTGTTTATTAGTAATAATCAATACTATTAAAAGAGAATCACTATTTTAAATTAACCTTTAATTACTGTGTTATTTACAATATATGCCATTAAATTTCTATAAATTCATTAAAGTTAATTTAGTCTTATCACTAAATTGTTAACAAATACATTAAATTAAATTAAATTATATTACATTGTTAACAGATAATACCAATAAATTATATCTGATATTAATAAAATTCAAATTAATTTAATTTTGATATTATTTTAAAATCTTTCATAATATCTTAACATAACTACCATATATATATGGCATGAATAACTAATACAATTATATATATTATATGATAAATCAAATATATATTATATTATAATCAATTTCTTCTCTATAGTATTAAAAGAAAAAATCACACCTTAAAATGTCTAAAAATTATTATGGTATTTACTAAATGTGTCAATTCATAGTCAATGATGAATATATAATCATTATTTTTTTATTACATATATACATACTATGAAAAAAACTATGTAAATAATTTAGTTTTTCTGGTTTGTTAATGATTTTTTTGCAGAATATTATGGGTTTGCGGATTTGACAAACACAATTTTGTAGATTTTACAAATTTTAGCGGGTTTTATAAATTTTAGCGGAAAATATAGTTTTCTGAAAAATGTGGGTTTGACAACAAATGTGCTTTTGTAAATTTAGCAAAAACACATAATTTTTAAAATTTGGTAATAAATAACGATTTTTCAGATTTTACGGAGTTTATGGGAAAACACGAGTTTGCGAAATACGAATAACGCAATTTTGCGAATTTTATGGGTTTTACAGGTTTTAACGAGAAAATGTAGTCATACAGAAAAATGCAGATTTGTGAGTTTGGCAGAAACACATGAGTTTAGAAATTTGGTTGTAAAACATAATTTTATGAATTTTACAATATTATGGAAAAACAATGGTTTTTGTGGATTTGGCGGGAAACGTGACTTTGCAGATTTTACGAGGTTTACATGTTTTTGCGGGTTTTATAGGTTTTGATGGAAAAATGTGGTTTTATGAATTTTATTGAAAATGCAGGTTTGCAGGTTTGACGACAAAATGCAATTTTGTAGGTTTGACAAAAACTACTTAATTTTAAAAATTTAGACATAGAATACGATTTTATGGTATTGGGGGAAAACATAATTTTTAGTTTTGTTAAAAAAATATGGGTTTACAGTTTTGGCAGGAAAATACAGTTTGATGGAAAATGTTATTTTTACAGTTTCTACCGGAATTTTTGGTTTTGGTACAACAACGTGATTTTACAATTTTGTGGCTTTTTATTTCGATAGAAAAAAACGGTTTTGACAAAAAAAAAACTTGATTTTTTGGTTTAAATTAAAAGATGTTTTTATCTGTTAATTTTTGAGATTCAAATGATGTATCAAATCTCTATTTTTTAGCATTTTAAATATCCAAATTTTGAGATATTATAGAATTTGTATTCAGATAAAATATCTATATACTGATTTTAAAAAAATTTAAAAGAATAATATTTGAGAGCATTTGCATCCAAATAAGTATCTGGAGGCAAAACAAACAAAGCCTAAGAATCTTAATTACAAACAAATAAAATTTCTGTTGCATTATAAAATATAATATTTTAAAATATTTGTTACAAAAGTTAACAAAAAATCCACTAATCAAAATTTTTTTATAAAATCAAGCCTAAATAATTTTAAGAACATAAAACCATAATGTTATATAATCTAATAAAAAAATTCCGTTTGGACCACAATTTTAGATTTAATAATATAAGCTATTTTTTGAACAAAATTTTTCTATTAACCGATTTTTGCTATGATCTAAAAATATTTTATAAAAAGAAACCCGCGCAAGTGCGCGGGTCCAAAATCTAGTATTCTTACATTTGAGGATGTTAACACCTTCACGTTAATAATGTAGCCTTTTTTCCAGGTTTTCTTTCTCTTTGTAATAAATAACTTTATTTAATTTTTGTTTCCTTCCGAATATACGTATACATTTCGGCTTTAACTGGTGACCAATAAAAAAAGGAATATGAATGAAAAAGAAAAGAATGAAAGGAACAAAAAAAAGAATGAATAGGAATGAAAAATATATAAGAAAGTAAATATATATATTTTGTTCCTTCCCAATTTTAATAAAGAATACATTTGTTCTATAATTTCTTATATGATAAGGAATAAAAAAGAATGATGGAAAAATATTATTACTAGCAAATGCTAAAAATTTTAAGGAACGAAGAGAAATTCATTATTCCCCTCATTCCTTTGATCACCAGTTGAAACCGGAGGCCAAAAAGAAGGGGGTCGTTCCACGTTTCTCCTCTCGAACTCTAAATTATTCCTTCCAACTAAATTTAATAATTGGTCAAAAAAAACCTTAACAATAAATCTACATCTGAATTCTATATACTTTTATATACAAATATGAAGACTCAACGCTCTATCGTTTGTATCATCTTCACTAACCAAATCCTATTTTTATAAAAATGTTGAAAGACAACTATCAAAGTTAGCGTTACAGTCTTAGCTTTGAGTACCCATATGATTCTTCATTCCTCGTTTGACTATATATATCACTTATATAGTCTATAGATATAAGTACATTTTTAATATTACATTTCTAATCAAATGCATAACCCTAAGATAGATTAGATACATATATGATCATATGGTTATGTTCGCGCTTCATCTCATCTTGAATTAACATATCCAGTCTCTAGTACTATATAGATTTCACTTTATTAACATAATTTCCACAATCAGTATTCCATTACCCTAATCAACCCCAAAAAAGACTATACGTTTTCACAAGAATAATCAGAAACTTTACAGCCGAAAAAACAAAACAATCTGTAATTATCGTCCAAGAACAACAGTGGAAGTGATCTCATTAGAAGAAACAATGTATTGTTGGCTCGAATCAAGAGCAAAGTTAACATCAATGGAGTTTCTTCTGTTGGAAGTAAACGTTGGCTGTCTTGGCACAGCTAGCGTTGATGTGTCACTCTCTAACATCAGCAAAACTGCAGCCATGTTCGGTCTCTCCGCAGCCGAATCTTGTACACACAGCATTGCCACGTGTATGCATCTCAAGGCCTCACGCTTATTGCACGTGACCCTTATCTTCGGATCAACAAGCTCCTCTGATCTCCCATGTGTATACAGATACCACGCCTGCAACAAATTTCAGTTTCCACCGTTTAGAGGATTTAAAGTGAGAACAAAACAAACAGTCTTTTACTCTGTTTTTGAGAAACTTACATAACCAATGAGACTTCCATGTTCAGAAGATCGAAGACTTGTGTTCCTCTTCCCACTTACGATCTCTAGCAACAAGACACCGAAGCTGTAAACGTCGGACTTCACAGAGAAAAGTCCTTCCATTGCGTATTCTGGAGACATGTATCCGCTATATTCACAAAGACCAAAAGTAAAGTAAAGTGTTAAAGAACATGATTTTCTTCAGATGAAACCATATGATCTGTTTTTTAGAATTGTGATTTTTGACTTACTAAGTTCCAACGACGCGAACTGTGTTAGCTTCATTTTGATTACCACCAAAGATCCTCGCCATACCAAAATCTGAGATCTTTGGATTCATCTCTGCATCTAATAACACATTGCTAACCTTCAAATCTCTATGGATGATTCTCAATCTCGAATCTCTGTGAAGATAAAGCAACCCTCTCGCAATCCCTTCTATGATTGCAAACCGTAGTTTCCAGTCCACCAACGCTTGTTTCGTTTCATCTGTACATTCAAAAGAGCAAGATTAAGAATATGAGAAGAAAGAATCAACAAGACTCGTTATTGCCTTCTTAAAGATTTGATCTAAGGAAACGTACCGAATATGAAGAAATCTAAGCTTTTGTTAGGCATATACTCGTATACAAGCATTTTCTCTTCGCCCTCGAAGCAACATCCAAGTAATCTCACAAGATTCCGATGTTGAAGCTTCGCTATGAGAATGATCTCATTCTTGAATTCATCAACTCCTTGTCCAGATTTACCAGACAATCTCTTCACAGCTATCTCTTGTCCATCTTCAAGAACGCCCTGACCGAAACAAAAAAACACATTTCAATCATCAATAAAAACATCATAAATCTGAAACACAATGACTCGGACTAGAAACAGCTGTAATCAATCAACCTTGTAGACTGGTCCGAATCCGCCTCTTCCGAGCTCATTCTCTCTGCAGAAGTCATTAGTAGCTTTCACTATAACGTTCAGCGAGAAAACAGGTAACTCGGATGTGTTAACTGCTTTTCCTTCAATCATTATGTCGACTGATCCTGTAAACGCCGTAGTGGTTTCTTTGGTCTTAGTCATATCAACAACAACGACCGATGTATCGGTGTTCTTACCACAATATGCTCCTGAAACATCTGCAGATATAATGGGAAGTGAATCAAAACAAGATGTTGTCTTTTGGGAACCAAACTTAAGATACTGAGAAAGAAGAAAGTTTGTACCTTTCTTCCTCTTGAATCTCCATAGAAGCAGAACAAAGAGTCCTAACAAAATCACACCAACAAGTACCGCGACAATCACCACAATCTTGGATTTCTTGCTCTCCCCTATTTCAGAATCAGCAAGACGAACATGAAGCGAGGATCCACCAGCTTCAAACTGCTGCAAATCGACCAAATCTTGGTTCCAAATCATGCATCCAATACCATTAACAACAGTAAAAGCAGCGCAAGAACAATTCCTCAAACATCTATCTTTGCAATCCTCAGGATCAACAAGAGAATGCTCAGGAGTTTCGAAATCAGGCAGCTTCACAGATTTCAGAGTCAAGAACTCATCCTCTCCAGCACTAGTGTTCCTCTCACACTTCAAAGGAGTTCTTCTTCTACAACCTCTACTCCAATCCCCTACAGAAACCGGCTCATAACCTTTAACACAGCTACAGATTCCATTAGAGCCTTTCATATCACAGATTCCGAATTTCCCACAGCGATTGTACTTATCACACTCAGTATCTGGCTCAGACTGAAACTTAGTCCATCTCTTCAAAGTCTCGTTCCATCTCAATTCCTCTTCAGTGCCATTATGAAGAACCTTGAACCTAAGCAACACCGATGGATCCGAAGGAACATACGTGAAATACACGCTACCTGTTTCATCTGGAGGAGAAGAAAGCTTAAACCCGTAAAGATAGTTCGTCAAGAGAGACATATTCGGAATCCCGGTGAAAATCGCGGAGTTCCACTGCCCGCTTCTCCATTTCCTCGTCTTGTTTCTTCCCCAAAGCACAATCTCTGGTGCTCCTGAAGGATCGATCCCTAATGTGTAATTACCAGGAGAAGGATCGGTCTCAGATCTCCACGAGACGAAAGCGAGGTTATCTCCGGTTTGGGGATTCACACGAACTCTCATCTGAGGCAAGAAAGTGTCCGTTGGGTGATCGAAACTCTCCCAGATAGCTCTCTCTGAGCTAACTTCAATCAATTCGAAGTTGCCTGTATCGCGAATAGCTCCGATTCTGTTGTTGTTGTTACTGCTCGATTCGATGTTTGAAGACCAAACAGTGATGTTTTGTCCGTTTAACAACACGAGATTCCCGTCGTTGCTGATCCTGAGAACACCAGATGTGTCTAAAATCGGGTTTTCTCTGTTTGCTACCCATACCACAGCTTTATCTTCGATGTTTCCGTACCAAATCCCTAGGTAACGACGCGTCGATGATCCGGGACTGAAGAATCCGAGCTCGAATGTCTTTCGTGGAGAGACTAAAGGTTTGTGATTGAGGCCGTCTCTAAGAAATTCGTCTCTTCTGATTGTATCTGCAGCCATGGAAGATTCGTAGAGGAGGAAGAAGACGAAGAAGAAGAAAGAAAGAGAGAGTGTGGGTTTGCGAAAGATTCTCATTTTCTGGGTTTTCTGAGGAAGAAGAAGAAGCCCAAGTGAGAAGGATGTTTGTAATAAAGGGTTGGTTTTGACAATTGCTTAAAGACGAAAGAAGCATAATAATGGCGGAAACTTCATCAAGGATGAAAAAGTAAGAGAGGTGACAAAGGAGAATAATACAAAAAGGGGAGGTGGCTGTTTGTGTGACTTAGTACTGTTGAGAAGTTTCTTTCTTTCGTTCTCAAGGTTGGAAAGTTGGACCAGAGAATTAAAATTAGGAACTTTTGGTCTTTTTCTTTATTTTTTTGGTGAACCAATCAATATACAAGAAGAAGAAAGTCAAATTGTTTGAATTAATGCACTTTATAAGGTATTATTGCATTTCAATGCTCCTTTTTTTTCAACATTTTACAACAACCTGCAGACATGTGTGTTTGGGATATGACCTAATTACATCCAAGATTTTTCAATAGTTGCAGTTTAGGAGATTGATTAGAGTTTTCACCGATTTAGATAAAATATGAAATACATTAGAAAGAAAAGATCAAAAGAATGTCACACAAAATGGAGCAGTTAGCTTTGTAATACTAGTTTAATTGCTTCCCAATACTTTTGTGTAAAGACTTTTATTATATTGTTGCCTTTGGCCGCCACATTGACTCATGTGGTCAAATTATCGGACTTTGGGTTTGGGATGGTCTTCTCTTTATTTTATTGCACGTGAAATACTTTACAGTTATTTATGTTCTTAACTATATTCATTTCATTTAACTGTAGCTTTGTATCGCCTAAAATCTAATAATTACCCAAAACTTAATTATATTTCTTTTGCATGACGTTAAATTATTTCTACAAAAGAGTATCGATGCGGCCAAACCTCAAGTGGACACTGGCTAGTGGCAACGAAGCATATAATACCATGCCAGATCAATTTTGGAGTTTACACTATATATTATTGATTAATTTAGTGGATTAGTTGAATGAAAAGTGAAATTTTACTCAAAAAGGTTAGTTTAATATAGAGAATGTGTCTACTAGGCTACAACTCCTAATAAAAAAAATACACTCCAATGAGGGTCCACCGTCCACAATATAATGCTTAGTCAAGAATTCTATCGGTGTACTCGGTAGACAAAGACATTTGAATTCACCAATAATATTTTTTGGTTTTTGATAGACTTTTTTTTTTAACTACTATCCAAAACGTTATTTAATATTTTACACGTGATAGAATTATGCTTTTCACCTTTTTTTATTGTAGTAAGTTTTGATTGGTAAATACGTACTCTTTCCTTTTAAGTTATAGTAGATGTTATAGGATTTCAAACATATAAATTTAGCATTTACAACTTTTCTCTTCTTTTCAAAAAATGCACAAGCTGTTGTTTTCTTGTAAATCAAACCAAGGCTGTCTGAAAATTGACACAAACAAGACCCATTAAAAAGAAGAGGAAACTAGAAAAGAATCAAAAACATTTTACAGATGAAGCTTCCTTCTTAACGAGGAGATAACTCAGAAACAGTGACATCATTCAACGACATCTGTAATCCTTCCGTCGAAGATGAAACATTCGAAGGCATCACACTCTCTAACACAAACGCAGGCCTTGAAGGCGTTGGAAGGGTAAAGGAATTGCTACTGAGCATGAGAGCAACCGAAGACATTGTTGGTCTACTCGCTGCACTCTCTTGAACACATAAGAGACCAATGTGTATGCATCTCAACATCTCGTTTCTTGATCCCGTCGTTAAACTAGGATCGATCACGCTTACTATCATGTCTTCTCTCCAGCTTCTCCACACCTAATAAGAAACAGAATCACAAATTTATATATTAACAAGATGAACAAAACTGAAACCCGAATTATACTGGCTTGGTTTTGTGTACTTACCCAACTAAGAAGATCTTCTGCATCTTTACCATCATTAGATCGACCATTGTTGTTTCTCTTACCTGTAATGATCTCCATGACTAATACACCGAAGCTGAAAACATCTGTTTTCACAGAGAATTGTCCATGCAAAGCGTATTCTGGTGCCATATACCCGCTGCAAGATCAAATGAAATAACCGGTTTTGTTATACTTGTGTGTTCATGGATTTAATAAGTTAGTAAGATGAATTTACTTACTAAGTTCCTGCAATCCTGCTTGTGAATCTTGTCATGGTTTGGTCTGTGTCAGAGAGTTTAGCTAATCCAAAATCTGCGATTTTAGGGTTCATTTCTTGGTCCAGAAGAATGTTGCTAGCTTTAAGATCACGGTGGATAATCCGGTAACGAGAGTCTTCATGAAGATAAAGAAGTCCTTTAGCAACTCCTCCGATCATTTTGAATCGTAGTCCCCAGTCCAAAAGCTGACGCTTCTCAAGATCTGCAATGACCAGAAGATTAAAACAGAGGAAAAGGAATTGTAGGATCATATGGAGCAAAAGGCATTAAAGATATTACCGAAGATGAAATGGTCAAGACTAGCGTTCTTGATGAATTCATAAACAAGGAGTCTTTCTTGTCCTTGAATGCAGAAACCTAAAAGCCTAACTAAATTCCTATGTTGAAGCTTTGCAAGAAGTATAATCTCGTTCTTGAATTCTATATCTCCTTGTCCAGAAGTACCAGATAGTCTCTTCACCGCGATTTCTTGCCCATCAGAGAACACACCCTGAGACATACATATAGTCTCAAGTTCATAAACAAACCAAAGTTACGGGTAAAGAAGTATAGCCGTTGAAACTTACCTTATAAACTGAGCCAAAACCACCACGTCCAAGTTCGTTTTCTGGTGAAAAGTTATCTGTTGCTGCCTCTAGAGTTTCAAAGTCAACTACCAACGAATCTCTATCCAATAACTCATCATCGGCAATAGATCCTGACAAAGGCGAATTCCAAAAAACTGAATATGGAGATAGTAGTAGAATTTTTCAGGATTCTACATTTCAACAAGACAACTATAACGAAAAAAGAATGTTCTGTTACCTTTGACACTATCTTTATGCTTTTTCTTCTTGCACTTCAAAACCAAACATAGGCAAATTGCAAATAGCGCAACAAGAACTATCGGAATGACTATCGCAATAACGACTTTAGATCCTCCTTTGCCCTTTCCTGCAATATAGCATTCACTGTCTTAATCTTCTGAAGCAGAACACAACAAGAGACAGATTCAAGCATTTCTATATAAGTACCTGTTCTCTCAGTTCCTGTAGTTGGTGTTGGTGAGTCAGCAGGCTTAATTACAGGTGGATCAGGCTCTAGATCGCCATCAAGCTCATAGAATCGCCCAGTCTCAAACCGGAAGTTACAACTAGGATAAAACCACCTAAGACCAGTCTGAGCATTACAACAACTTGGGATCTTCTCAAACGCAAAAACAAGACAGTCATTACAATCCTGTTCAGACAAATCCGGTGTACACTGCGCACTTCCGTAGATTCTCTGAAACCCCGATGTTCCCGAACTGTTCCCTTGAGCGTATTTCCTATTGGGCCCACCAGCCGCCGCAATCCCTCTGAGTCTGTCCAATAGTTCTAACTGCAGACGCGCAAACTCATCTATGTCTGATGTTACCGTTGTACCGGAAACAAAAGACAGAGTTGGGTCTGTCTCTTTTCTTCCATAGATTGTCCTGTTCGAGTAACGAAACATACAGTGCGTGTACCACACGACGGCTTGTTTTGCCAGGGGACACCGCTCGGTGAGGTTTCTTGCAGCTGTCTGAATACAGCTGAGACAATCATCTCTCTTGACTTCTCTTCTGCAAAGACCAATTGCGTAAGCGCTTTCTCCAGATGAGTCTCCAGAAGAGACGTTGTAGAAGCCATAAGGTTTGGATGTGAGTGAGGAGAGGGAGGAGACAAGGCGGTTGAGATTGCCGGAGAAAGTGCTGTTGACCGTGTAATTGCCTCCACGAGCTACACACTTGAAACTTGGGGTGAACTCATAGGTATCCTTCTGAGCGATGGCCAGAAATGGAACAAACATTAGGACAACAAAAGCTATCAAGACGAAGAAGAAAACTCGGTCTTGTTCCATGGAAGCTTGATGCTTTTTTTCTTTCTCTCCTTCTTCTGTAATCTATGAGAGAAACCCAAAACGCAATGAGTCTAATTTGACGAATCAGAGAAAGATGTGTGTTCTTTGGTTATTTCAAACTCTGACAGAAGAAAAAAACACAACTTGCTGATAAAAATAATTTAAAAAAAAGTGTAAAATGCAGTAGCCTGCACAAGTGGGAATCCCTTTGCAAGTGGGTTCTGAATGATGACAGAGAATTACAAGTTGGTGGCTACAGGCACAGCGAATCAGGTCATGGGTGTGAAATTGCTCACTTGTTTCCTCTGAAAGACTCAAATACCAGGAAAAAAACTGAAACTTTGACGGTTTTGAAACCAACTAGGATATAAAAAGACTAACTTACTCTCACTAAGTCTTTGGACTCGATTGAATGTTTGGCCTTTTTCATTTTCCTAAACTTACAGACTATATAACTTCTATCCAATTCGACCTATAACGAAATGAATCTTCCTAACGAAACATGCAGTGTGTGTACCACGTAATGGCTTCTCCGGTGAACACCACTCGATGAGGTTTGTTGTGGATACAGCTGAGACAATCATCTCTTTTGATTTCTCTTCTACACAGATCAATCGCATAAGCTCTTTCTCCAGATGAGTCTTCAGAAGAGAGGTTGTAGAAGCCGTAAGGTCTGGATGTGATGTGAGTGAGCAGAGAGAGGAGACGAGGCGGTTGAGATTGCCGGCGAAATTGCTGTCGTCCGTAAAGATGGGCTAATCAATAAAATATCGAATATGATCCGGGCTATGGAAATAAAGATGGGCTACATGCACAAAAGCCCATTTTATGTTTCGTTAAAAATTATAAATAAATACGCTATTCAACGATCTTAATACAGAGCGGGAGTCTCTTTTCTTTTAGGGTTTGGTTTCAGAGGCACGATCATCACGAAGGTTTGGATTCATACCCTTTTTTTCTCTTTTTAGTTATTAATTTATATGTGCTCGAATGTTTGATTTTTTATAAACTCAATTGCGCTTGTGGTTTTTCAGAATTTTGTTGTGTTTTTGATTTTTAGGGATTTTTTTGGATAACAGGTGTTTATTATGGATCATTACTTCCCAGCCAAGGTATATGAGATGGTGGATGATCCTTCGACGGATTCAATAGTTTCGTGGAGCGAGAGCGGCGAGAGTTTCATCGTTTGGAATGAAACAGAGTTTTGCAGAGATGTTCTTCCGAGATTCTCAGTAAACATGGAGATGAAAAACTTCACAAGCAGGCTTGAAGCCATGAGGTTTAGGAGGGTTGAATCATCTGAGCAATGGGAATATGCTCACGAATGTCTTGTGAGAGGTAAACCTGAGCTTGCGTCACCAGAAGCTTACACGCAGGGCGTGATAGATCGACTGAAGAAGAGCGTTTTTGCTATAAAGAATGGGGTTTGGGATTTAAGGATGGATCGGCTTCGTCTGCGTTTAGAGAAGAACCAAATCTAGTTTCTCTTGTATTGGATTTTGGGTTTCTTCATGAGATTAATAATAAGACTTGGTCTCACAAAGTCTTTGGTATTATTGGACACATAACAAAATGAATATCGAAAATATACAACAAGATGAAGCCAGACCGTCTGAAAATTCACACAAACAAAACCCATTAAAAGGCTTAAAAGAGGAGATTCAAAAACTATATTACAGATGAAGCTTCCTTCTTAACGAGGAGATAACTCAGAAACAGTGACATCGTTCATCGACATTTGTAACCCTTCCGTGGAAGAAGAAACATTCGAAGGTATCACACTCTCTAACACAAACGCAGGTCTTGAAGGCATCGGGAGAGTAAAGGAGTCGCTGCTGAGCATGAGAGCAACGGAAGCCATTGTTGGTCTACTCGCTGCACTCTCTTGAACACATAAGAGACCAATGTGTATGCATCTCAACATCTCGTTTCTTGACCCCGTTGTTAAACTCGGATCGATCACGCTTAGTATAGTATCTTCTCTCCAGCTTCTCCATACCTTAGAATAAAAAACAGAACCACACATTCATTTAAGAAAATGAACAAAAACCGCGATTACTAGTTTGGTCTAGGTGTACTTACCCAACTACGAAGATCTTCTGCATCTTCATCGTCAATAGATCGACCATTGTTGTTTCTCTTACCTGTAATGATCTCAATGACTAATACACCGAAGCTGAAAACGTCTGTTTTCACAGAGAATTGTCCGTGCATCGCGTATTCCGGAGCCATATACCCGCTACAAGATGAAATGAAACAAAATGGTTATACGGGTGTGTGTTCTTGGATTTGATATGTTAGTAAGATGAATTTACTTACAAAGTTCCTGCAATCCTGTTTGTGAATCGATGTGTCATGGTTTGGCCAGAGTCATAGAGTTTAGCTAATCCAAAATCTGCGATTTTCGGATTCATTTCTTGGTCCAAAAGTATGTTGCTAGCTTTAAGATCACGGTGGATTATCCGGTAACGAGAGTCTTCATGAAGATAAAGAAGTCCTCTAGCGACTCCTCCGATCATTTTATATCGCAGTCCCCAATCCAAAAGCTGACGCTTCTCAAGATCTGCAACGGTGCAAATTAGATCAACACATAACGGAATTAAAAGAATGGTATGATCATATAGAGCACAAGCCGGAGAATACCAAAGATGAAATGGTCAAGACTAGCGTTCTTGATGAACTCATAGACAAGGAGTCTTTCTTGTCCTTCTATGCAGAACCCTAAGAGCCTAACCAAGTTCCTATGTTGAAGCTTTGCAAGAAGTATAATTTCGTTCCTGAATTCGATGTCTCCTTGTCCAGAATTACCTGACAATCTCTTCACAGCGATTTCTTGCCCATTAGAGAACACACCCTGAGAGACATACATATAATCCCAAAGTTTATAAATCTCTCAAATGTATACCCCAAAGTTGCCGGTAAGAAGTTTGGTCGGAGAAACTTACCTTATAAACTGAACCAAAGCCACCACGACCAAGTTCATTTTCGGGAGAAAAGTTATTTGTTGCGGCCTTAAGGTTTTCGAAGTCAACAAACAGAGAATCTGTGTTCGAGAACTCATCCTCGGCGACTGATCCCGATAAAGGCGAGTTCCCAAGAACTGAATATGCAGAGAGTTGTTATCAGGATTATAGTTTATCCTTTTTAACAAAATAACATTAACAACAATAAGAACAGAGATTAACATTGTGTTACCTTTGAGTTTATCCCCGTTCTTCTTCTTCTTCTTCCGCTTCAAGACCAAGAAAAGACAAATTGCAAATAACGCAACAAGAACTATGGGGATAACTATCGCGATAACGACTTTAGATCCACCTTTGCCTTTTCCTGCAATGAAACATTCACTGTCTTAATCTTCTGAAGCAGAACACAACAAGAGACAGATTCAAGCATATCTACGTACCTGCTTTCTCAGTCTTTGGCTTTGCAGCCGATGTTGGTGAATCAGCAGGCTTAATTGCAGGTGGATCAGGCTCTAGGTCGGCGTCAAACTCATAGAATCGCCACGTCTCAAACCGGAAGTTACAACTAGGACAAGACCACCTAAGACCAATCTCAGCCTCACAACAACTTGGGATACTCTCAAACCCAAAAACCAGACAGTCATCACAATCCTGTTCAGACAGATCCGGCGTACATTGAGCACTTCCGTAGAACCTCCGGTACGGTGCCGAAGCTGAACCGTTCCCTTGAGCGTATTTCCTGTTCGGCCCACCAGACGTCGCAATCCCTTTGAGCCTGTCCAATAGTTCTCTCTGCAGACGCTCAAACTCATCTCTGTTTGCTGATATCTCTACACCGGCCCGAAGAGACAGAGTTGGGTCCGTCTCTTTTCTTCCATAGATTGTCCTGTTCGAGTAACGAAACATACAGTGCGTGTACCACACGACGGCTTGTTTTGCCCTTGGACACTGCTCGGTGAGGTTTCTTGCAGCTGTCTGAATACAGCTGAGACAATCATCTCTTTTGACTTCTCTTCTACACAGACCGAGTGCATAAGCGCTTTCTCCAGATGAGCCTCCAGAAGAGAGGTTGTAGAAGCCATAAGGTTTGGATTTTAGTGAGGAGAGAGAGGTCACAAGACGGTTGAGATTCCCGGAGAATGTGCTGTTGGCCGTGAAGTTGCCTCGTTCTAAACAGTTGAAATCTGGATCAAACTCATAGGTGTCTACCTGAGCTAAGGCTTGAAATGGAACAAACGCTAGGACACAAGCAAAGAAGAAGAAGATAACTATGTCATGTTCCATGGAAGATTGAAGCTTTTTTCTTCTTCTGTAGTACTAAGAGAAAACCCCAGAACGTATGATAAAGGTGGTACTAAATTTGACCTTGAAATCATATAAAATATGCAGTGTGTTCTGTTCTTTTGACGTATTTGAAAATCTGACAGCCGAAAGAACACAGGTTGCTGATCAAAAACTATTATAAAATTCAGTAGCAGACACAAGTGGACAACCTTTGTGAGCTTCTTGGGTCCATGCATGATGATAGACTTACAATATAAAACTAACGAGTTGATGCAGAGTATCAAGTCAACCGTGTGAAAAACGTTAGTTAAGTATCAATTGTTTATTGCTTACTTCTTTCCTCTCAAGTACATAACAATATGTATGAACTGAAAAGGACAAAAAAAACTGAAAGTAGTTTTCAAACCAACTAGATATTACAACTAATCTTCCATTAATGATAAACAAAGTATTAATTAGTGCCCCCATAAGCTTTTTTATGCCCTCCCTCTTGCTGTATTTGAATTTATACCCATCAAATCTAAAAGGCTCAATGCATAAGAAATTTACCTACCGTGCTATGAGTTTTCGAATATTCAGAGCCCAAACAAAAAATGCAACAGCTTCTTCATCTAGTAACCTGCAATATGCAAACCAGAGGGACTACAAAATGTGATATTTTCAGCACATGAACAAACCATGGATGTATTGGTTTGTTGAAATTTCGACTCACATGATAAACAAAGGAATGTACTTTGACGAAGAAAGATGATATACTTATTCACAGCTCGATCCTAGAATTCGAATATCTCTCCATGGAAACCTCAGCACCCCCAGATTGATAGCTCTAAAAGCTCGGGGAAACTTGTGTGGATTCTCGATTTTCCGGCAGCAGCACAACAAGGGCTAGAAACCCTTGAATTTGTGGAACTGAAACGATGATTTTGCGCCATGTTAATCGGATTTTCCGTGATGGCGTTCACGGTGGGGAAACAGAGAGGAATTGAGTCTAGCGACGGGGATTTAAGCTGAGAGGAGTCGCCGGAGTTACAGTGTCAGTGAGAAGAAACGGCTCAGCTAATGAACCCAACTATCAATCCCGGACCGGATCGAAACAGATTGAAACACACGTTAATCGGGATAAACCGAACCGAAAACTAACTTGTTCCGGTTTCAGGATCCTTTTAAATTCGAAAATGAAATAAACCATTTGATCGGGAAATCGTCGAGTCTTTAACCTCCGGAGAGAGAGAAGTGAGTTTTTTCCGATAACTGGCTAATACAAATTACATGTAAACCAAACGAAAGGGAACAAAATAACGGTTTCAAGTATTAACATTGACGTCTGTTTCTCGCAATGATCACTCTGTTTCTTCTGACGATAACTCACATTTTCGTGTTATCGTACACACAATGATCCGGAGCAGAATGGTTACGGCGTTTCATAAGAAGAATGTAATCTGATAATCAACTCTTCTCCAAGTTTTGTTTGTAATCGAGTTCGCTCGTATATTGAATAATTTTCTTTCTGGTTTTGATCTACTATGGATCTCTTACTATGCAACATAAATCCGTGTATACAAAACTAATGTTTCCGGAAAATGTACGTAACTCTGCTTTCCTCTGTTTTTAATTCTCTCTTTACTTGCAAGATTCTAAACCAGAGAGGGAGAGAGATCCTCCTGGAATCGAGGAGACACCCCAGTAATTTTAGGATTAAGACAAAAGTAGTATCATTGCTGTTTCAGGGACATCTCTTCATAAAACCTTATTCTCCTTAAATCCCCATTAAAACATAATCATTTCTTGAAAACATTCCTCATCTGACAAAACCCACTCTCATTAATTATTTGACAATTATTAAATTCTGCTAATGTTCCTTCCCTTTCCCTTCAATTAAAACCAGGATCATTCTTTGCTTTCCTTGCAAGGATCATTTCCCTAACAAACCCTTCCATTACATTATCCTTCATTTCCAGACATCAATGGTGATGATAATGTTCATCTTAGACGACACTCGCGAAGCTTAGATCCCCAATAAATCCTTAAAATCTCTTGTGAGAGAAGTTACCAACAACTTAAAACACAATGCTAGCTTTCTCAAACATGGCTACATTCCGAGGCTTGCTTCAAACCCGAGCCACCATATTCTTAATCAGAAACTACCATAAACAACCAATCGAAGTTGTGTGGAAGAAACCTGAAATTGGATGGACAAAGCTAAACTTTGACGGGTCGAGAAGACAAGGACAAGCCAGCATTGGAGGAATATTCAGGAACCACAAAGCCGAGTTCCTCCTCGGATACTCAGAATCCATAGGGGAGGCCACGAGCACCGTTGCAGAATTCGCAGCCCTCAAAAGAGGGCTCGAGCTGGTTCTAGAAAACGGGTGGACGGATCTATGGCTCGAAGGAGATGCCAAGATCATAGTCGATATCATCTCCAAGAGAGGGAGGTTGAGATGTGAAGAGGCAAAAAAGCATGTGAATTACATCAATGTGGTTATGCCTGGGCTTAGCAAGTGCGTGTTGAGCCATGTTTACAGAGAAGGGAATCGAGCCGCTGATAAATTGGCTAAGTTAGGACATCAGTTTCAGGATCCTAAAGTCTGGAGGCTTCAGCCTCCAAAGATAGTCCTACCGATAATGCATGAAGATGCACAAGGTAAGATTGTTCTTAGAACAAAATGAGCCTAAACGAGTAAAATGTTTGTAATTAAATTGCGTATATATCATTAGATTTTGTCATAACCATTCTAGACAAGAAACTTTTGTAACATCAAGATATTTCCCACTTTTGTAACATATGTAAATTGCGTATATATCATAAGATTTTGCCAATAACAAGCTAAGATGTGTAAATGTGTTACAGAAATATATTAAAAAAACTTCAATATCAATGCTTCTTTTTATTATTCATTAGCCAACAACAATCTGAATGGTGAATGAATTCTCTTTTGGTTCTCTTTGTTCTTGTTTGTTCATTTCTATATATGTTTACATTCTCCTAGTCCTTGAAACTGTAACTCAAGAGCTGAATCGTTCCCGGAAGAATGGTGCAATTCTCAATGGTCAAGAATCAAGAATGGTACCTCTACTTCTAGTTACAATCTCGATGCTGCTGTTGAATCTGAAGATGTGAGCTCCCGGATTTCCCTAACAGCTTCACTGACTTTATGGATCGCCATTTTCTTCACCTGGATTCGCAGCAATACATAATACATAAACATACCACTCCTTTTTATTCAATCTTGCTTAAAACTAAAAGAACTTACCTCAATCTTGTTTGCTTTCGTTTTGACGCTCTGGGGAAGTTGACTGAGTTCGGCCACTACTTTGATAGATTCGGTAACGTGCTCAGGTGAAAGAAAATTCACAACCGCGTTTACGCAAGACTAGCAAAAGTTATGTTAAAAATGTTATTAGCTTTGCGATTCTAAATAAGGCAAGAGCGTGTTGTTGAGTGCTACTAAAAAATACCTTATTCTTTCTATTTTGGTATGGACATCCAGCAGGGACGATGACTGCTTCCCCGACACATTGATCAAAACTCCATGGTTCAACGTCTGAAAGAAACAGAATAAGCAGCATGAGACTGAGTATGTGTTACAGTCACAATGCAACGGTGAGATAAAACTAGGAGAAATGAGGATATGATACTTACCAAACTCTTCCTTAAGCCTTGCTTTGTGATACTCATCAAGGTAGTAACTCTGCTCAAGTAATGGATGGCTCACCTACGATAATGATACATAAGAAACATGGTTAGGAACATCAGTTACACTGTTCTCTTGTAGAAGCGTTGAAACCAGCAGCCCAAAACTTACAGGTGTTTTGCTGGAATCTATGGGTTCTAGCTCGAGAGAGTGGCACTTAATATACTCAAGAAGTTTAGAAACATCTTGTTTCTGGAATACATCCCACTGTGCACCATAAGAGTTGCTTAGACTTTCTTCTTCACAAGAGTCGTTGCAAGTTTCTCTTCCCTCTCCCTGAAACTCACTGGCTTTGTATTTAGCGCCTAAACTGAGTTGTGAAGATTCTGAATCAGAACTGGAACAGTCACCCGAACAATCCCTCTGAGCATATGAAGCTTCAAGCCTATCTTGTTTCTTTCCCCTACCAAATCTGATCTCCTTCCCCTTTTCTAAGTTTTTAGATTTTACTCTCCCGACATTTTTCATTAGATTTCTTATCCTACAAATCTGTTTTGTGGAGACCGCTGTTTCTGTAACATGTAGCAAGATGTCCACCTGCAGGGCAAATCAAAAGATTGAGAAAAGTACTACTATATCTGAAAAGTTAAACCAGAAAAGAAAAAAATTATGCAGCTGACCATAGTTTTACTTCTTTGGCTAACAATCAATGTATAATTAGGAACTGCACAATAAGTGAAACCTCTGCCAGAAATGGAATGCCTACGAAGAAAACTTACCGTGTCACAAGTTTCGAAACTTAACTTCTTCACAGAACCAGGGTTTGCATGTTCTTCACCACTCCTGTAAGAAATATTGAGGCATGGATCTAGACTGGGTGTTTGTATTGTGTCAGGTAGGTTAGCAGCGACATTAAGTAGACCGCGCTTTGGATCCATGTAATGGGGAATTGGTAAAAATCTCAGTATTTCAGCATAATGATGTGGGAACTGCTCTTTAAACAAAGAAGACGAAAGCCTTCCATCCAGCTTCAGCCTCTCTTGACAAGTGTTAGTCTCAGCCTTTCCTCTAAAAGACCCCAAGAAAGTTTGATTTACCCCAATTTCTACCTATCATTGAATAAGAAACAGATCAATTAAAAAGACCAAGAGGGTACTAAAATCCAGAAAGAGAAAGAGCAGCAGTAACATCACAGAACACAAGTCACTAACCTCAAACCAATCCATGCAATTCGTTGTATTACCGGTCTTACTATTGATGTTCATAAGATAGCTGCAGAACATAGCTACCGGATCCCAATTTAGGCTTGAACCACCCTTTAACACACTACGAACTATTACAGGATGTCCTTTACTCCAGTGTGTCTGAAAGTGTTCGAGATTGTTTTCTTGAAACTCCATCACCGTGGGGTGGTACAAAAAGTTACTAGTTGCGTCTTCTCTTCTTCTGGATGCTTCTTTCAAATGGCTGTCACTACTGCTAGGTTGCTTTTCCACTCCAAGACAAAACGGACACCCCGAGAATCTATCTAAGATTTCAGGCAACTCGTAGCAACTGACTATTTCCTCTGCACTGATCTCTAACTTGCTTGTCACCTCCAGAGAGAATAGGCTTCTCAAAGAAAGCTTATTGCTGCACCCTTTGAGTTCTTTCCATTTACAATCTATTAGAGCTTTCTTTAGAGATTGGTCGCAAGCATTAGATAAAGGCGGCTTACAAGTTGTCATACCATTCAAGCAATTGACTGGTCCAACCTTTCCAGAAAAGCTCCCTTGATTTTGATCTTCATCAGAACTTAGCCTGAGAACAGAGGAACTACGAGTGTACATTCTTGGCAAATCCACAACGGCAGAGTTGTTACTGCTGCTACTCAGACAGATACCCGACGAATTTGTCAGAGAAAAACTCAAAGCAGATTGCATAATATGCAAACACTTATAACAGTATATAACAATAAGGTAAAAGAGTGAGCACCAGAACTGTCGATCATCAGAGGTCAATTCAGAGCTACGGATTTGCGGTTCATCTGGATTTGGCTCTATCACAAATGTAAAAAAAGAAAAGATATGAGTAAGTTTAACTTACCAGAACGGGAGGATTCAGAAAGGAAAGCTAAAGAAAAGGATTTATCAAACTATTAAATACCTTTCTCTTCTGCATCACTTTCGACCTTTACTCTGTCTTCTGCATTGATTTCTTTGAGTACTGGAAGAAGCAAGCACACCGCATAATGTAGATGCAAAACCCTGTCAATATCACTCCTGACCCTCTGAGAGTCCTGGAACATGTTATAGAAGTAAGCAACTTCGTGTTACAAAAATATCTGAAGAAAGAAAGAAAAAAAAACATGTAAACTCTTTAGGCTAAAGAACTATCAGATAGTCAGACCTTACATTCAGTGACTCCGGACATAGAGATTGAGCACGCCTTGCACCTACATGATCCATGGCATACAGGACACTTTTTCTCAACTTCTTCTTTTGAACCCTTGTTCCTAAAGTTTATTCCAAGCCAAAATTCAATAAGATGACTGCTTCTAGCTCAATTAGTAGCTCAAATCAAGACAGCTTAACAGCAAAATTAGAAACAAGTGTAGTTACTGAAGCTGGAAACTGCAGGAAAGAGCATCTCATGTTACGTCCTAACATTACACCACTTAACTATCCAGTAAGTAGAGACGAAATTCAAGCAAGCCCTCTTTAAAAGCGGAAAGAAAAATGCTCTGAAGTGTGAAATCTCGCAATGAATTTGTTACCATAGGTGAATCGTTCTCTCTATGTCCTAGGTCCATAAAACTACTGAACATCATGGAACATCCCTAATTATAATCATTTTCCATTGCAATTACTAATCAAACATAACCCAAGATTACCTTTTCTGCAAATTCTAATGAGACCATCAGCGAAAAGACCAAGGCTTTCTCCAAACAAGATAAAGTAACAAAGCAAACATAAACCAAAACATACCTTTTCTCAATACAATCTAAGCAAAAGAACTCTCTTTCACAGCTCAAACAAGTAATCAAATTCCCAAATCCTTTGATTCCACACCAATGGCACCTCTTCTTCTTCTCCTTACTTGAATTAACCAAATTCTCCATGAAAGGAACCACCTTCACAACAATCACACAAAACTCAAATGTTATAAATAGATAGAGCAAATAAAGAAACTAAAAGTGTAGAAATTGAAGCTTCTTTTCCAATTACCTGCAACTTCCCAACAGGCAGAGGTTCAATGTTCTTAGACCTGAATCTTCTCTTGTTCATCGAAACCGGTTCTTCCCCTACTCTAACATCACAAGGAGATGACACATTGCTTGTAGTCGGAGACGGTGGAGAAATTGCCATAATGCCATAAGGAAGAACTCTCGTTAACTCTTCTCCAACGAAATCACCAAACCCTTTATTGCTCTTCTTCTTCTTCTTCTTACTCTTCTTCTTGTTTGGTAATCTCTTGTCCTTCTCGACTTCTCTCTTCAACACCATCCTTATCAAATCCAACTGCAAATCCCCTCTCTTCAGCTTCATCTTCCTCACAGCTTCGTCAACAGCCTCTGCTTCCCCCATCACTACTTTCCTCTTCTTCGATTTCCCCGATCTCTTTGCCCTAATTCCGCCTTCGCTTGGCTCGATCCCTGAAGACGTCGCTTCGTCTCCTTTCCTTGATCTATCGAGCTTCATCGACTCAGCAGCTTTCTGCTTATTCCGCTTCTGACTAAGCTGCGAGTGATGAGACTCGCACATCTTCTTCCCTTCCAAAGCCCGTCTCTTGCACCGCCATTGCTTCCCATCGGAGCGGTTGCAACGAAACTCGTCAGGGACAACCTCGTTCTCAGACATTCCTCGAATTACCCGGAAATTCTCTGAATTCAGATGAGAAATTCCGGTGGAATGTCTCGTAGTTAGTGATCTGATATCAGAGAAGAACGGCACTGTAGTGTGAGGAAGAGAAGAGGCCAAAAAGGGAGGAGCTTTATGCAGAGTGAAGAAGTGGCAGTCTTGTAAATTGCAAGAAGAACGAGAGTCTTGTTTTGGTAACGTAAGATCGCAAATATCGAGAGGATCTTCAGTTGTTTAGTTACCTCCCCTCTGGTCCTTTTTCATATTTTCTTTACAACCCTAATTTAATGTCAATCCATAGGTTGAAGTAACAGATGATCTTTTTTGCTAATGGTTTTTTTTCTACTGCAAATCAAAATTAGACGATAGTTTCTAATTTTGAATATTTTTTTATAAATACTGTATAATTGTTTCAGTTTTACTTAAGTTTTCAGTTGATTGCACATCGAATTTTTTTTTGTTCTGAAACGGTTGATTGATTTGCACATAGATTGAGGATACAAATCGACAAAAGTATATTTATAGTTTGAATAACTATAAGGTCACATGAAAGACTTGTCAAAACTAGGATTTGTTTTACATGCAGATTTATACAAACAAGAAGAAGAGGGAATTTGCAGTTGGATTAAGGATGGTTTAGGATTTTGCTTTTGGTAATTTAACAAACTGTTTGACACATAATTATATTGATCATGTATCTTTGTTTTTATCTTTAGAATACTCTTTTTAATAATTGCGTCCAAGTAAAATTATTGTTAGTAAGATCTCAAGATTTAGTTACCTTAAAAATGTTGATTTTTTTCAACTATATTGATATCTTTTTTTACTCGATAAGAATATCCGTATATATTTTACTAGAATTATATATTTGTAAATCAACACAACAATAACCTATAAGTCTTTCCATGACTTGACACATCAGCATTTTCAAGTTTTTAGGAGATGACATTTCAGCAAAAAAATATACCAATAAAAACATTTCATTAATACAAGTCACCAATATATTTTAACTTTTAAATTTAAACCCATTAAAAACCCAAATATTTTTATTATTAATTTTAATTTTATTTTTTAGTCAAGTCTAAGCCCAAATAATAAATAACAGCAAATAAAAAAAATATTTTATTTTTTTGCCAAATCCAAATAATAAATAACAGCAAATAAAAAAATTAAATATTTGTTTATATTTTTGCCAAACCGAAACTCAAATAATAAAAAACAGCAAAAAAAAATTAAAATTTCTACCTATGTGTTTGCTTGATAGATACGTATATGATTAAAAAAAATGTAGATTCATCATCAACTATACTTCCATAACAACAATGCAAAAAGCGTTATGTTATAAGAAGCTCACACATCAGTAAAAAATTGAACCAATAAAAACATAACAATAATACATATTATTAACACACTAATAAAATCAATTTACTATTTTACTGACCCATTAAAAAGCCCAAAGTTTTCAAAAACAAAATGGAAGACGAAAGCAAATGAGGAGAAACTCAGACCACCACAGCTTGGAGATTCACATTTCTACTGGTTACAGAGAACAAATTTCCTTGGGTTTGGCGGAAATAGAGAATTTCTTGGTTTTGGTAGAAAAATGTGATTTTCAGTTTTAGTAGGAAAACATAGTTTCTCGGTTATGGCGGAAAAAAGCGAATTCTCGGGTTTGGCAGAAAAATGTGAATTTTTAGTTTTGGTGAGAAATAAAAAATTTGATTTTGACGAGAAAATGCGAGGAAAATGCAACTTTTCAATTTTGACGAAAAATACAATTTCTCGGTTTTGATAGAAAATGCAATTTTTTGGCTTTTAATGGATAATGTAATTTCTTGATTTTGGCAGAAAATTGTAATTTGACAATTTTGTCAGAAAATACAATTTTTCGGGTTGATAGAAAAGTAAAATTTCTCGATTTTGACGGGAATAAACCATTTATTGGTTTTAATGGGAAATGCAAATTTTCAGTTTTTGACATATAATTTGATTTTTTGGTTTTCGAGGGAAAATATAATTTCTTAGTTTTTGCGGGACACTTAATTTCTCATGAGATAATGCAATTTTTGGTTTTTACGGAAAATTGTAGTTTATCGGTTTTTGTAAGAAGACGTGATTCTTGATTTGACGAGAAAAATAATTTTTTCTTGTTTTGGTGAGAATAGATGATTTTTGCGGGAAAATATCTTTTTGGTTTTGACGGGAAAATACTATTTTTTTGTTTTTGCAAGAAGATGAAATTTTTTGGTTTTGGTGAAAAAACTTGATTTCTCTGTTTTGACGGGAAAACACAGGTTCTCGAGAGAAAATGTGATTTTTTGGTTTTTGAGAGAAAATGTAATTTCTTTGTTTTGGTAGGAAAATAAAATTTCAGATTTGACGAGAAAAATGTTTTTTTTTTGTTTTGGCCGGAATATGCGATTTCTCAGTTTTGTGGGAAAATATATTTTTTGTTTTGTCGGAAAATACAATTTCTCGGTTTTTGTAAAATGATAAAAAAATTATGTTCTAATTTTCAAAGTTACAATATGTTTATAGTAACCAAATTTGAATTATTTAACTTCAACTAAATTGATATTTTAACAGTTCAAATAGAATTTTATATTTAGTTTAAAAGTAATAGTAATGATTTTGATATGAATGTTATTGATTATAGTTTGGTAGTTTTAGAAACATATGTCAATAATAAATATTTGATAAACAAATAAATTTTATAGTTTAAAATAATCAAATTAATTAATATTTTTTTAAATGGAAATTTGCTTTATATAATTTCAAAAGATGATTAAGTAGCAATTTAGTAGAGATAATAAATTATATTTAGCATTAGCATGTACTTAAAATGTATTGTTTTATTCTTACATATACATTTATAGATAGTTAGTTAAACAAATTTGATAGTAGATTATAATTTAAAAAAATTAAAAAATTAATGATATATAATGTTTATTCAGATTTAAAACATATAAATACATATTTTAAGGTAATAAAAATAAATATAATACTCATTTACAATATATAAATAATTTTATTATATTAAAAAAATATATAAATCTAGAAAAAATATCTCGTAGCGCGCGGATAAATATCTAGTATTTTCAAAAATTGTAGTTAAAATATGATTAAATAGTACAGCGCTAATGTCTTGAGTTTATCATACTCAATATCAAAAAGACTTAAATCAGTCACGAGCAAAGATGTTTACTTTCATCATAATATACACTCTCATCGTTTTTATATGATATTTGAGGCTTTTGTTTTGTATTATTTGGTGATTTCTAATTTCTTTGTAAAGTTTTAAATTACTTTAAGCTCACCTTGACATTTTACTAATATTTGCAATCTTCAAGTATCATCTGGCCAGAATTTGGATGGTGGTTGAGAACTTAAAAGACTTGATAGAGTATATAAAATGGCTTTTGTTGGCTTTTGTTGGGCTTTTAGTACTGTAAGGCTTGTACTTTATAATGGTTTTTGTTGGGCTTTTAGTAAGATTTTAAAAACTTTACGGAGTCGTGTTATATTTTGGGCTTCAAATTGCAATAATGGGGAGGGAAAACGTCGATGGCCTTGTACTTGGGACTCATTTTTGTCAAATAACTCTATAATAATAAGAAGGTATTACAATGAATATTTGGGGATCGGAAAAATATGTCTCTTAAATGTAGATTAAATGTTATTACGTGATATCAGAACAAACAAAAAGGAAGACCAATCTTTTGGAGTGAGCTACATCTATATAAAAAAAAAATTATTTTTGACGAAAAGGATCATTTCAACAATAAACTTTGAAATATACACTCCTTTTTTTCTTTCAAAAATGTCAATGATCATGAGTAGTTTTACTTTTAAAACTTTTTAATTGTCGGATATTCATTAATTTCAGCTATAGATTTAAACCGATCACAAAACTAAACTCGTTTACTAAAACAGTATTTACAACTACGTACCATAACCAGCTTTGGTAAAAACCGATCAGTTAATGGTAGTCCTAATTAACGGTACGTTTTTCACGATATGCAGCTCCAGATTCACGTCTAGTTAATTATGGAGATATAATCAACAATGCAATTTAATGACATACATATCCATTCCTATATTTTATTTGGTTTATTGTATATACCAATGTCGTAAGAATGAATCATGCGTACTAATTTACTAGGTTTTTCAATTTTGATAGCTAGAAAATCCCAAAAACTCACACTAATTTCCCAAATCTAACAATCACTATAGTCTTAACAAACTCAAAGTCGTATAGGTTTCATCTAGTATGAAACCATATAAGAATGCCTGTAAAAAGGATTTGAGTCGGTGAGAAGAGAAAGATTTGAGTCGGTGAGAAGAGAATGATTTGTTATGTTTTAAGAATATAATATAATTATGTCGTGTCTAGTCTTGTTGTGATATTATGTATGTTTATTTCAATTTTTCTTTGGCTTGCTCTCTTGTTAATTTCAAAATTTCAGTACCGTACTACTGTTTGTTCCTTCTAATTAACTTCATTGTGGTGTTGCTTTCTTACGTTTATCATCGCAAACTCTGAGGATAATTAATGTTTTTCAAATCTTCCTTCCAGTCGTTGATTTGACTCACTAATCATTAGATATACAAATTTTTATATGTTATATTAATCATCTACACTATTAAAAGAGGATCACTTCAATATTTAAACATAAATCATGTGTTATATTACATCAAATACCATTGCAATTTTAATATTTTCATTAAAATTTTATTAATAGTAGTTTAGTCATTTGTTAATATAACCAATTAATATTTATTTTATTTTTTCTTTATTTAATTCTTATATTTCTATTATCAAACACATTAATTTTCAAATACTATTTGGATTAGTTTAATTCTAATTATCAAACACATTTAAATAATTTAAATATTTCTATAAATAGTTATTTCGAAAATTTTAATTAATCTTAGAATTAATTACATCCAAGTTTATATAAATCGAAATTATAATTATAATTACTATATATGTATAAGATTAAATTATAAACAATTATAAAATTTCGTTTATTTTGCAAAAAAATAACAAATAATAATTTTCAAATATTTATTATTATGTAACAATATAAGAAAATAAAAATTATAATTAATATAATTAAATTATATACATTTACACAATATAAAATATAAATCGCAAAACAATTATTTGAAAAACAAAAATCATATTTTTATTATTATGCAATAATATAACCAAACACATATGTTTATAAGAAAATAAACTAAAACCTAATTTTTATTAATAATTATATATTATTTTTTATATTTTTAGTGCAATATAATATTAAATTAAATTATGATTAAATAGAT